CATATATTTGTCATACAACAAGTGACACGTACCCACGTGACTCACTAAAGATGGCCTCCTTTACTTCTCTCTCAAACCATCGGTCCTCTCTGTCCAGGATGTGAACATCTTCATCCCTGAAAGAGTGACCGCTGGCCTGGAGATGAGTGTAGACCGCAGAATCCTGGCCTGATGATGTTGATCTTCTGTGCTGGGCCATCCTTTTGGCCACTGGCTGTTTAGTTTCCCCGATGTAAGACTGATCACAGCCCTCCTGACACTGAACAGCATACACAATATTACTCCAGTCCACCGGCACAAACGGAGTAATGCACAGAGATGGCGCAGCGGCAGAGCAGCCGACTTTAAACCTGAAGGTCCTGGGATTGAACCCCAGTCATTCCAACATCCATCTGAGGGTGAATGTGTTAAACACTGCTGGGAACATACAATGAAGACAATACGAAGCACTTATTAATTATATTATTATCTGAAGTGAATAAAATTAGTTAAATTTTTATGTAGAAAATACGTCTATATTGACCGTCCAGTGGACGTCGGAAAAAGGCGTCGTCTGTTGTAAAAGTCTGCACCTGGGAGGGATCCAAATTAGACGTGCAAAAACGACTTTAAAAAGACGTCATTTAGATGTCTCCTTGCTCAGTGGGCAATTCTTGGCTTTTAAAAATTTTTTTATAAAGCCTATTAAATAAATCTATAGTCCCTTTCTCTGCCTTAAAAGTTTTCCTTTTAAAAGAGAAAAACAAGACAAATGTATTATATTAAAGAAAAATTACTTAAAACACACATTTACATGAATAAACATTCAGGTATGACATATTTTGAATCAATAACAGAATGTCATTAAACAAAGGGGTCCTTATGGTTTCTTTGTCATGGGAGCGAGTCTGAGAGAAATACTCCATTTTGATAGGGGAAGTTATCAACGTAGCGAGTTCAGATGTTTTAAAAGCTTCGAGATCAATTGAACAGAAGCTCTCATTAAAACGATCTGTCCATTTCATGGGAAATGAGTTCATAGTTGCTCAGTCTTGTTGCTTAAGTTTTGAAAATGTTCAAAAATGTGCTAATGTTTGGCAAAAATACTCAAAGAAGCCACACTCGAAGACATGGGTAAATAGCATAACGGGTTTTACTTGCAAGGGCAGATTTTCACTCAAAGTTTTACACAGATGCACATTCAAAAAGCGTTCAATACAAAAACAACTGGACTTTATTTGTAACAGAAGACGTTTCGCTCCTCATCCGAGGAGCTTTCTCAATTGTCCTGGATGACTGAGAATCTTCACCAGCACACAGATGCACAAAAGTTCTACATCATTCGAGCTTGGTCGCCAGAATCTGTGCCAGGCAGTGTGCGAGAATTGTTTATATACTTTATATATTGTTTTAGGCTTTCACTCTAAAATAGCTGTTGTCCCTTTAAGACCGACAGAAATGACAA